ACTTCGCCAACTGCCCGATGTTCCTGTCGATGCGGCTCGTGTCCTCAACGGCGCCATGCTCCGTGTCCAGCTACGGCCCGTACTGGCGCAACTCTCCGCCGCGTCGCCACCATCCAGCTCCTCTCGCGCACCGCGTCGCGTGCATGACGCCCGCCATCTCCGCGGAGGTGCGCGCCATGGTGCGGAGTATGGACCACGCCACCGCGGGCCGCCCCCGGCGGCGCCGCGCGCATCCAGCTGAAGCGGAGGCTGTTCGAGCTCTCCCTCAGCGTCCTCATGGAGACCATCGCGCAGACCAAGACGCCCGCACCGAGGCCAACGCCGACACGGACATGTCGCCCGAGGCGCAGGAGTTCAAGCAGATTATCGACGAGCTCGTGCCGTACATGGGCACGGCCAACCGGTGGGACTACCTGCCGGTGTTGCGTTGGTTCGACGTGTTCGGCGTGAGGAACAAGATCCTCGACGCTGTGTGAGCAGAAGGACGCGTTCTTGAGGCGGCTCATCGACGGGGAGTGGCGGAGGCTGGACGATGGCAACAATAGCGAAATTAAGAGCATGATTGCCGTGCTGCTCACTTTGCAGAAGTCTGAGCCAGAGGTCTACACGGACACTGTGATCATAGCTCTGTGCGCGGTGAGTGCTTCTTCTACTACCATATATCACCTCTCTTTATCTTGACAAAATACTAATAAGTAGCCCATTTTCTCAGTTTACTGCAAAACATTTTCAGTAACTGTAATTGAGAGTTATACTTGTTGACCCATACACACAAACTACCATGTTTTTTCCACTGGGAACTACCCATTTCCATTACGATGAACGGAAATACAAAGCATCCAGCAAGTTTACAGATAAGGCAGAAAGACAGGAGATAGAACATCGATACTGCAGATCACCACGCAGGGAGATCCCAGGATCGAGACATCAACCCTACAACCAGATATAACAACTACTGTAACTGTAACTTCCAAAGCTAACCCAGCAGAACCAAAACAGATATAACCAAGGTTAGCATGAGAGGAAGATACACAAACTACCATATGATGCATACTTCATTCTTTTCTCCTTTTTCCTGCATCACAAGCGTTGTTGTCACCTTTTTGCTGGATCTGGATAATTGGATCATGTGACTGACTGTAGTTTTCTCCCTTTCTCTGTGATGAAGAACTTATTTGGCGCCGGAACGGAGACCACGTCCACGACGACGGAATGGACCTTGTCGCTCCTGCTGAACCACCGGAGGCCCTCAAGAAGGCGCAGGCCGAGATCGACGCGGCCGTGGGCACCTCCCGCCTGGTGACCGCGGACGACGTGTCTCACCTCGCCTACCTGCAGTGCATCATCAACGAGACGCTGCGCCTGTACCCTGCCGCGCCGCTGCTGCCGCCGCACGAGTCCTCCGCAGACTGCAATGTCGGCGGCTACGGCGACGTGCCCTGCGGCACGATGCTGCTGGTGAACGCGTACGCCATCCACAGGGACCCGGCGGTGTGGGAGGACCCGGCCGAGTTCAGGCCGGAGCGGTTCGAGGACGGAAAGGCCGAGGGGCGGCTGCTGATGCCGTTCGGGTTGGGGCGGCGCAAGTGCCCCGGGGAGACGCTCGCGCTGCTGACCGTCGGGCTGGTGCTCGGCACGCTGGTCCAGTGCTTCGACTGGGACAGGGTTGATGGAGTTGAGGTTGACATGGCCGAGAGCGGCGGGCTGACCATGCCCAGGGCCGTCCCGTTGGAGGCCCTGTGCAAGCCGCGCGCAGCTATGCGCGATGTTCTTCAGAAGCTCTAACCATCTGATGGACCGACTTGTTGGCATCGTCTAGTCGAGTCTGATAGTGTGTGACATAGCTACCGAGCATATGTATTCGTGTTGTGTATATGAACAGCTGTTGATTGCCTTGTACTAATTGATCTTTGCCGAGTGTATGAACGGATTTTCTTTCCTTGAAATGGAAGTGAATTTTCTTTTTCTCGATGGTTACCAGATGTGAATCGACCTTCTCTCTATGGGACCGTCCCATCCAATTTTTCCGGGGTCTTATGTTCACTACGGGTACTGCATACCTTTTTTTTAGAATCTTGTACCTTTTTTAAACTACACAATATGATGCACCCAATTTTTTTGCCAGGGGCCAGCCCAATTGCAGCTAGAAGTCGGCAACGAGCCCAACTGCATGTACTCCCAAGACCCAGCCCAGAGTAGCTCCCCAGTAGCTAGGTGGGCCTGGCACCTCACCAAGGGTATTTGACTTTTGCTATAAAAAAAAGGTATTTGACTTCACCGATTTTCACCAAAGTCCGATTCGCCTCCTCTAATCAGAAAACTGTCTTTCAGGGCCGGTTTGGTAGAGCTTCATCTGATTTTAATTCTCTATAGAAGTTGATTCTCTGAGCAAAGTGATTCTGTGGCTGAAAGTGATTCTTTGATTCTTTAGTACAAGCTCTCAAAATCAGGATGACAGAATCAGGAGAAGCTACTTTTTTCAGTTTCCAGCCTCTTAATTCATTTCAGAGAATCACTTCACAGAATCAGCAGAGACTTCTCTCTGAAAAACTATTTGGCAGAGCTCCTGCTGGATTCAACAGAGAATCAACTCTGGGAGCTCTGCCAAACAGGGCCTTAGACTCCATCTTTTGAAGCCTATTGATTTTGCTTCTTGAACGATTTCGAAAGAAATTTTACTCATCGACATAGCAACATCCCTTTTGTCTCTCATTCCCCCAACCACTCTTCAACTCCCTCCCTCTCTAGCTTGGATGAAAGAGAAGGGGAAGGAGGTGAAGGAGACTCCAAGGATCGAGCTTCTCGATCATCTCTCCACTTCACAACCATTGAGGAAAGATGCTCTTCATCTACATCCCCATCCTCATCTCCGTTGAGGTGTTTTATGGTGGTCCATGTGCTTGTATGGGCATGGGGACTCCATGGAGTAGAGTGAAGGTCAATCTCCATCAAAAAGTCTGTTTGAACTCAACAACTTCGTGGAAGAGTATGATCCATCTCTCCCAATAAAATAAACGATTTTTGTGTAGGTGTTTTTGACCTCGGCAGAAATCGAGCTTAATCACACATGTTAAACCAGGATGGGTTGTAAATGGAACATGGCTTTATATAGATTCAAGTACAAGATGCCCCATGTCCAATTTATGAAGAATGTTTTTTTGTTTGTGCAATCAATGTAGGGTTTTGCAGGGACGTTGGTGTTGATGATTCAGATGCCCATTGGTTAGTCCATACCCTTCCTTATATAGATCTGGGTTAGGGCTATAGATCGTGGTCTCACGATCCATTATAGAATGGTTTCCTAGTCGTTACAAAGAAATCAAATTAGATAAGATTATATGTATGCATTGGTTTCTATCTATAAATTGCATGTCATGTCCATCAAGCCACATGACGCACCCGGGTCGTTTCCTCTTCCGGTTAGTCAGCCTCATCCACCCCTGCTGGGGTACCGGTTTAGGTCATGATGAGCATACTCGGGACTTCTGTAATCAAAATTTGGGCTCCTCAATTTTTTTTAAAATTTGAATTAAAAGCTTTTCTTATGTTTTTAATATTGGGTTGTACGGTAATTGTTCTTTTGGGCCAAATTTACCTAATGTTTGGAGATATTTTTTTATCTAAGGCACTGCTTTATTGTGTTCTGAGTCCAAAATTATACAATATTTCGCTGCAAAAGACATGTTGTGATTCACAATTATCCACAAGAAAAAAGATGGGGAGCAACACACAAGCACGCTTGAAAGCTCTAGATTTGTTTTGGTGAATTGATGAAACCCTAAATGCTAATCTAGTTTATCAAGTGATCATGAGATAGGTAGCACATTCCAAGTGGTGAAGCAAATAAAGATCATGACATGATGATGGTGATGCCATGGTGATGATCAAGTGCTTGGACTTGAAAAGAAGAAAGAGAAAAATAAAAGGCTCAAGGCAAAGGTATAAATGGTAGGAGCCATTTTGTTTTGGTGATCGAGACACTTAGTAAGTGTGATCACATTTAGGATCGATAGTCATACTATTAAGAGGGGTGAAACTCGAATCGAAATACGGTTATCAAAGTGCCACTAGATGCTCTCACTCATTGTATATGCATTTAGGATCTAGTGGAGTGCTAACACCCTTGAAAACGTTTGTGAAAATATGCTAACACATGTGCACAAGGTGATACGCTTGGTGGTTGGCATATTTGAGCAAGGGTTAGGAACTTCACCGGCGCCCTAGACAGAAAAGACGGAGGTCACTGTAAGTGACCGGAGGTCTCGGTAGGACCCGGGCGCGTCCGGCCAGTGGAGCATGAAGATCGCGGCATCGGTCTTCGATCGAGGAAGCCGGGTCACTTAGTGACCGAATGCTGATAGGGTGCGTCCGGTCCTGCTGACGTGGCAGCGCACAGGGGAGTCGCCGTGTGACCGGACGCTGGGTGTGTCCGGTCGAGCATGACCGGACGCGTCTGGTCGTGATTTCTCACCGGATGCTTATTGAACTTGACCGGACGCCGAGGTCCGGCGTCCGGTCACTTTTGCAATAGCAGCTCCGGTCATCACTTGACCGTTGGGATCGAGACGCTCAAGATTTGAAAGAGAGGACACACGCGGTGCATCGCACGACATCGCTGGGGTCCTCGCGTCCGGTCGATATGACCGGAGCGTCCGGTCACCCCGTGTTGTGCCCAGTAAAAGGGTACAACGGCTCTATTTCATGGGGGCTTCTATTTAAGCTCCATGGCTAGCTCAAGCTCACTCTCTTGGCTATTTGCATTGACATAGCAACATTGTGAGCTTAGTCAAATCCCTCACACTCATCTCCATCATTGATTCATCATCTTTGTGAGATTGGGAGAGAATCCAAGTGCATTGCTTGAGTGTTTGCATCTAGAGGCACTTGGTGTTCGTGTTTCCGCCATGGATTCGCTTATTACTCTTGGTTGTTGCCGCTACCTAGATGGCTTGGAGCAGCGAGGATCGTCGAACGGAGGTTGGTGATTGTCTCCGGCTCCGATAGTGGTGATTGTGAGGGGTTCTTGACCTTTCCCCGGTGGAGAGCCAAAAGGTACTCTAGTGAATTGCTCGTGGCTTGTGTGATCCTCATCTTGTGTTGGTTGTGCGGCACCCTATTGAGGGTTTGGCGTGTGATACCAATTAGCTGCAGTGAACCTCCAAGTGAGTGAATCGCCACAACGAGGACTAGCTTGCTTAGGTAAATAAGTGAACCTCGGTAAAAAATCATTGTGTCATCATTTGATTTCGAGATGATTGGTCTTCATTAGTATTCATTTTTGTGATTGATTGGCTCCTTCCTCATACACTGGCGGTATAACCATCTTGCTCACTCTCTTTATATTACGTTAAACTAGTTGTCAAGCTCTTTAGTGTAGCTATTCGTGAGAGCTTGTTAGTTTGGTTAGTGTGACTCTTTAGTTAGCATTTGAGAGCACACTAACTTAGTATAGTGACATAGCCATTGTGTGGATAGAACTATATAAACTAGAATTGTGATAGGTGGCTTGCATTTTTAGTAGGCTAGCGCAACATTTGCTTCACGCCTCATAATTGTCTAGCCGGTTCGTTAAGTGTTGTGTATAAATTTTTAATAGGCTATTCACCCCCCCTAGCCATTAGGACCTTTCAACGCTATATAGTGCAATGGGTCTATGCCCTATTTGGGACCGCTTAATATCACGGTGGCGGTCAAGAGAAGCCAAGAATCCCACCAGACGTCCGCGTGGTCTACTCGATTCTTATCATCGCGTCTAATTCAACCATTGCGAGAATGAACTACTAAGATGATTTTACGTATCGCGGTTCCCATATCTGCTCATCTACCACAACATGTGGTGAGAGATCATGGTCCCAAACAAGACCTATAAAAGATGATACAATAGGAGTGAGCCCATCCAACGAGAAACTTAGAATCGGGACTGTTATGAAAAAAACTACAACCGTCGTGACGTGGTCGAGAGAAAACTGCACTCAGATGTCCCAAACAAGGCCACAGCAGGAGTGAGCCCATTCGATGAAAAACTTTGAACCAGGACTATTATGACAAAACTACAATTTGTCGTGACATCATCGTAGAGAAAACTGCACTCAGATGTCTCAAACAAGACCTTTTTTCTCGAACATGTAAAAGGTTTGCGCGTCTTTGTGTTAAAATAGAGAAAATGTTTAATACAATACGCCTTAACGGCACCCTAGGTGGTCCATAAGTTGTATATGAACACTTGGACTCTCTCTACCGTACTGCAAGCTATGCTATTATATTAAACATAGATCAATCAAATTACGGCGCCGACTAAGAGGCCAATGCCCGGGAAGCCTAGCGGCGCCGACTAGGAGGCCAATGCCCGGAAAGCCAAGCGGGGTCACAAACAAGACCTATAAAACATGATACGACAGGAGTGAGCCCATCCAACGGGAAATTAGAACCAGGACTGTTATGAGAAAACTACGATAGTCCTGATCCACTGATGTCACTGGACTCGCATGCGGCTGCCGCCGAGCCCTCCCGGCGCCATCCCGTTCCTCGCCCACCTCCACCTCATCAAGAAGCCATTCCACGCGCACGCTGTCCGGCCTCGCCCAGCGCCACGGGCCCGTCTTCACCCTGCGCTTCGGCTGCCGCGACGCCGTGGTCGTGACATCCCCGGCGTGCGCCAGGGAGTGCTTCACGGAGCACGACGTGACCTTCGCCAACCGCTCGCTGCTCCCCTCGCAGAGGCTCGTGACCTTCGACGGCGCCGCGTTCGGCACCGCCAGCTACGGGCCGCACTGGCGCGACCTCCGCCGCATCGCCGTGGTGCAGCTCCTCTCGGCACGCCGCGTCGGCGGCATGTAGGGCGTCATCTGCGGCGAGGTGCGCGCCATGGTGCGGCGGCTGCACTGCGCGACGACGACCGCGGGCGGCGGCGGCCCCGCGCGGGTCGAGCTGAAGCGCAGGCTGTTCGAGGTCTCGCTCAGCATCCCCTCATGGAGGCCATCGCGGAGACCAAGGCGGTGCGCCCGGAGTCAGACGCGGACGACGACACCGACATGTCGCCAGAAGCGCAGGAGTTCAAGCAGGTCATCGACGAGGTCTTCCCGTACGTCAGCTCGGTCTGGTGGGACTACCTGCCTGTGCAGCGGTGGTTCGACGTGTTCGGTGTGAGGAACAAGATCCTGGCTGGTGAGCAGAAGGGACGCGTTTCTGCGGCGGCTGATCGACGCAGAGCGGCGGAGGATGGGCGACGGCGTCTACAGCGAGAAAAAGAGCCTGATCGCCGTGCTGCTCACACTGCAGAAGCTAGAGCCGGAGGTTTACACTGACACCATGATCACGGCTTTTGGCTCGGTGAGGGATTCATTTGTTCCTTCAATTGGGAACGAGCGACTGAGCTAGTCGCTCGTTTGGTCAGCATCGTGAGCCGCGAGCTCGGCCACCCGGGTTTGAACCCGGTGCCCAGCGTATTTCCGCTCAAAAACGAGTGGGAACGGGGAAGCTCCCCGGTAAAAAAAAATGTTCGTTCAATTAATTTCACCCGAAATTCGACTGGTACAGACTACAGAGACGATGGTTCTCTATCACTGACGACGGTTAACGGATCGTTTTTTGAAGAACCTATTTGGAGCTGGAACAGAGACGACGTCGACCACAGTCGAATGGGCGATGTCGCTGCTGCTGAACAACCCAGGGACACTCGAAAAGGCACGAGCTGAGATCGACGCGGCCGTGGGGCGCTCCCGCTTGATCAACGCGGGCGACTTGCCGCGTCTCGGCTACCTCAGGTGCATCATCGCCGAGACGCTCCGCCTCTACCCCGCCGCGCCGCTGCTACTCCCGCACGAGTCGTCCGCGGACTGCAAGGTCGGCGGCTACGACGTCCCGCGCAGCACGGCGCTGCTGGTGAACGTGTACGTGATCCACAGGGACTGTTCGTGGCGCAGCACGGCGCTGTGGGAGGAGCCGGGCAGGTTCGTGCCGGAGCGGTTCAAAGGCGGGAAAGCCGAGGGGCTGTTCGTGGCGCCATTCGGGATGGGGCGGCGCAAGTGTCCCGGAGAGGCGCTCGCGCTGCAGACGGTTGGGGTGGCGCTGGGGTCCCTGATCCAGTGCTTCCACTGGAGCAGAGTCGACGGCGTGGACGTTGACATGAGCGAGGGCAGCGGACTGAGCATGCCCAAGGCTGTTCCGCTGGAGGCTTTGTGTAGAACTCGTGAGGCTATGTATGACGTTCTTCAGAAGCTCTGATAGGACGGACACCTCGGTCGTTCACGGTGTGCACAATGCACTAAGTAAGCTTCTCCTGAGCATGTTCCAGGTCATCAAATGTAAGACATGTTTTAGACTGGCTGACAGAGAGAATTATTATTTAAGAATAAAAAAAGACTAAAGAAGCGTCTCATAATTCAAGCATGACAAGACAGGCAGCTATCTCTGTTTGGCCCAGGCGAAATGGACTATGGTGATTCATCGCAGAAACGTACATCTACAACATGTGGCAAACAAAAGAGGCCACGATGGAACAGCCATGATGATGTACACAGGGTAAGGCGCCTTTGTGTCAGTAAGGTATTTTCAACTTTTGGGTCTTCTGCGTCACAATAGGAAGTTTATGGGCAATAAGATTCGAGTCCGCGTACGCTGCAGAGTCTGAAGGATATCCTTTCTGCATTATAGAAAAGAGATAAAATATGAAAATATTCTAGCAATGTCCTCAACTTAACCTTATTGAAAGTAAGGTGCTTGGTAGAGTGATAGCATACCGCAGACAAACTTGCAAATGTTGCTTCCCTCCAGCAACATTCACGGAGTACCCCTGGTTTGGCTCCATCGCCATTTCCAAACGAACAATGTAAACGAGTGTCTCTCAATCTCATCAGTACACCATCAACTCTAAGCTGTTAGATCGACAGGCAATCATCAGTAAGGACAAGCTCGTCATATATGAAGACAAGAATCTTGAAAATCCTACATGTCAAAAACTTGCATCTTAAATGTGGGGGAACACTGCTACACGCTTATTACTCAAACATATGACTATGTTTGGAGGATCTTCAGTTCAAACTTAGGCCTCAATAATTAATATATGCCCTTTCAAAAGTTTTATCTTTTCTTGTCCCATAGGGGATCAGTTTAGCCTACCCCAACTTGCTTGGGACATAAAGGCTTTGTTGTTTTATTTCAAAGGGACAAGCATAGAGTCAATTACAAGAGGAGTTAAGTTATTTATTGATCTCAGCTCTTCGCAAGTTCTCCTGAAAAATCTTGGATTGATGGGAACACTGAGGGCAACAATCTGAATCAGTATTATCACTAAAATTAACAGGTTCCATCCTATATGACACAATACATCACCTCAGAAATTGCCTCCATACTAATGAGGCGTCAAGTACAAAAATTAAAATGCAAGGTAGTAGAACATACCCAGAAACGCAAAAAGCAGAAACCAACCAGTTGGCATTACCCTCTGCACACACACACAACCAAGAATCCTATTAATGAGTTGAACTAAAAGACAATTTTGCCACAAACATTACAGTTGAGGAAAAAGGAACAGATAAGCATCATTGGGGATCACATACCACTCGCACTGTAAGAAATGAGATACCATTGTCAGCTAACTCATCTTCATACAAGATAACCTACACACACATCCTGTTAGGGGGCAGACCAGTATCCAGATAAATTATGAACCATTTGTTCCATTTCCATACCTCGTCGTAGAAAAGAATTGGCTCTTTTGCTGAAAGGGCAACAAGGTCAATCCGATCATTAGTATCCTCCCAACACAAAGTGCTGCATCCATCTAAACTTGCTTGTGTCTGGAAAAGAAAATTGTATGAGCAGGAACTATTTGTCAGTGGACTACACCAGTAAAAAAGTGAAAGGGCAGGGGAACAAATATAGAACTTTGAAATCAGATTAAATTAATTCAGCTGAGATCAGGTCCATACAGTGCCTGAGTTCACAACCACAGCATCACTCCCACAGTATGGTGTCGTAAATGTATAGTCATAATCAAGTATAACCTGGTCAGAAGGCTTACTGCAAGAAAACAAGTTAAAGAACCTGCGATTAGGCTTTTTTAACAAACTCACAAGGTAAAACATGATATTTCCATTATCTGAATTTTTTTCAGCTAAGACCAATATAAACACATCAAAGTGTATACTATTGTACTTCTCTCGGAAACAATGCAGGATACAAACAAAATAAAATCAATTTAATTATATCCATCCACAAATATGTATTTCTGATCAAAGCTCAAAAATTTTAAGACAAAGTGGACTGCTTTGAAACAGGGTGGGTGATGCCAAGATCAACTAACATCTTTCACTACAAATGCTCAGTAGTATGAATTGAGTAAAAAAAGGAAGTACAGTTATAGATGACCTTCTGAACTTCCATTTTGCTGCAGCAGGAACCTCAACAGGTGGCAGTGCCTCTTTCTTCCATGCCTTGAGTGCATCAAGTGCATTAAAATGCAATTTGATGCCAGTTTGAGTATGTTGAAGGACAAGAAACTCTCTCCAAAAACCATCTCAGGTAAATGTGTTGCTTGAAGTTCATCTTCAAAGCTGAAGAAGAATAGAGTAGACATTACAGAATTTAGAATTAGTTTTCTCTAAAATATTTAAAGTAGCAACGTTTTAATAAATCAACTCTAAATTCATCTATTTAATACTGAAGATTTCACAGATGTAACACCAGTAGACACTGGATAGATCCAATATTACTAGCAGCCATAGTGTGCTTTAAAGTAGCAACGTTTTAATAAATCAACTCTAAAGTTACTGTGCACATTTTTCCTGACTAAATGTAACAATAGAAAAGTTGATATACTGACACCATTGGTTAATTAATGATCAATTATCATTGATGTGACCAGGGAGGATTCACAGTTCAAGCATCACCTCCAATCCCCACCATGTGGAAGTTGAATGCCAGGACAAGCATAGTGCAACAAAATTGAAATATATATGAATTCCATGAGTGATGAATTAAGAACTAATGTGACATGAATAATCAGATCAAAGGGAGGGTCAGACAGACAGGAAAAGTACACACAAATTGATCAAATACGCTGCACCGCTACTACTACGAATTTGAAGCTCTGCCTATTGCGAGTCTGAGTCCAAGTTTCCGGTCTTCTACATAGACGAATCGAAAGGACGGGGAGGGAAGGGCTAGCCGGCTAGGGTTTATGGTGGGGGCGGCTCGTACCGTTGGAGGGAGGCGGCGTTGAGGATGGGGCCTTTGTGGGACTGGATGACCCACCCCTTCACTCGCACGCCGCCGGGAATCGCCTCCGCCCCCGCTGACTTGAGCTCCGCGGCCGTCGGGCCCTCCCACGCCGCCGCCGAAGCCATCTGCGTAGATTGCTTCAAGCTGGGGAATTCGCAGTGGCAGACTGGCAGTGCTGCCCCCTTTGTACTGCAGCACCTGGCAGTTATTTGTCGACCGTTTGATAGAATCCGATGGCTATGATTCACTGCTACACGTCCACTACAGCGCTCGAAGCCTGGAATAGGTGGGGGATGCGAGGTGCGAAATTCGGCACGAATTCAAACCGAAACAGCCAAGGTTTTAGAATGAGTATGTCTACTTAACAACCGTGTGTTTTATGTGTTTTATATACTTTCAATACATAATTTTTTTTCACCATAGAATTAAAATCCAACAGCCCCTGCCCTCCTTCTGCCTCCAGTCTCCAGCCTTCTTCTACCTCCAGACAATCACAAGATCACAGATCCACAGATCATAACAAACATTTTTTCTATAGAAGAACAAATCACATAGGACAAATCACAGATCGCAGAGGAGAAAGAGGAGGAGGAGAGGCCTACCTGGAGAGCGGGATCCGCCACCGCCGCCGCCCACTCCAGCTCGCGGTGCAGTTGGTAGTCCGGCAGGCCACGCGATAGACCGAGCTGCACCGCAGACGCAGAGCAGAGCCGGTTGCCATGTATTCGATCGATCGCTTCGCTTGGACGTAGCGACGGAGCGGGCGGCATCGGAGGACGCATGTGTGTGTTGCGCGGCGGCAGCAGAACGGAGGGAGGGAGAGAAAGAATCCATGTGTTTTTTTGCGCTAAAACACATGTGTATTGTATAACATTTCTGTTTAGGATTTATGTGGATGATTTGATACCTAAACGTTCCAAAAATGACCAATGTGGTTCTTGGATCAAAGTTCACGATCCTAATGACACAGTCGCATACTCCCTCCGTCCCTAAATGTCTGTCGTTTTCGCTTCACGAGAAACAATTTTAATTAATATATGTATTAAAAAATATTAATATTTACGATACTATCATTGATAGGTATTTGAATCTAGTTTTTTAATAATTTTATTTGAAGATAGAAATGTTGCACGTATTTTCTATAAATCGAGTCAAAGTTATTGGTACACAAATTGTGGCGACCAACATTTAAGGACAGATAAAGTATATCCTACAGAGGCATGATTAAACATTGCAAAGTACGTTGATTTACATGTATGATCTTGGATACCCTCTGTAGATATAATAACAAGCCCCTCCCTCCTAAATGAAATGTCTTTTTCCTTTTTGATAACGGAAATGACAGGACAGAGGCGTCCATCCCGTTCGGACGTCGCACGGCTCAGCCCGCGGATCCGCCAGCCCAATAAACCTCGCATACGTCCCCTTCCGTTGCTCGCCTCGCGCTGCTCCTGCTTCTTCTCCGCCGCCCGCGCCCCTTCCATTACTCCTGCCGCTCACCCCGTGCTACTCCTGCTCCTCCGCCGCACGCCCGCTGCTCCTGCTCCTGCTCCTGCTCCTCCGCCACCCACCCCGCTGCTCTGTCGTTGCTCCTGCTCCACGCGCCCGTCTCACTACTCCTACCGCTGCTCCGCCGCCCGCAACCGCTGTGCCTGCTCTGCCACCCACTCGCCCTAACGACGCCGACAGGCATCGCTAACGCAAGGAGAAGCGTCAGGCCTGGCGCGGAAGCCCTATGACCTTGCTTGCTGCTACGGCTACGGCGCCCCAATGCAGATGGCGGAGGAGACCGCACCGGGATATGATGCATGTTGCAAGCTCACATTTCAAATGTTTCAGATGTTTTAGAGGTATATTGCAGGCGTTTCATACGGATGTTACAAAAGTAGATCAGGATGTCGCATATGTTGCAATGGTTATACACATATATTGCAAGAGTCTGTCTCCAATGTTTTATCTGTTTTTTAGACGTATAATGCAAGCATGTTTATTTGGATGTTATATATGTTTTCACACATATGTTCCAAGTGTTTTATATAGATGTTGTATATGTTTTACAATGGTTTTCAAGTGTTTTCTTTTAAATGTTTTTGCAAGTGTTTTGGACGCACATTTCAAGTGTTTTATCTATCTTCTTTGTATGTTGCAAGTGTTGCATCGAGTGTTGCACATGCGATCCGTGTGGAAAGCTGGAGGGGACGCGAGTGGTCGCCATGGGCGCGCGCCACGGGGCCCCGCCTGGCTACGAGACGCAGCCGCAGGCGAGCAATGTCCGCCCGCGCACGGGCCCAGGCGTGGACATGGGAAACGGACCGCAGACACGAACTTCCGGACGCTAGCGGTATCCTTTCAATGAGTACATTAATCTCAAGTTTAATCAAACATATATAAAAAACTATTGATATTTATTATATAATAAATGTTATTATCAAATGTGTTTTTATAATAAACCTAGTTAGAGTTATAAATATTAGTATATATCTTTTATAAACCTACTAGTTAAACTTTTAAAAATATGACCTAGGATTACGCTTTTTGGGACAGGTAGTAAAACAGTCAACAGCATGACAACAATAATAATCGATCTCATGTGCAATCAGTAACTGGTTACCGGGGTGGAGGGGTATAGACGGTGACCATCACTCAAATTTCATCGAGCTGGTGCTCCGCAGAAGTTATAAAATGTTCTAAACATCATTCGACGCATTACCGCTCTATGTTTATCGTCAGAAGAAATATAAGTTGTTGATATTAGTATACACACTGGGAGTTTATCAAAGTAAATAGATAATGATACAAGCATAACAAATACATCCAGCACAAGAAAACTAAAAGAAAAAAAAATCATGTGCTGGTCGTGTTGTAAGCCGCGTCAGCAGAGGACGTATCCATGTCATTCAGGCCAAGTTCCTCATTCTGCTCCCAACTCCTCTGATACTCCTCCACTGTAATCCACAAAGAACACATTCAGTATGAGTATCCTTTAACTTGCAGTATTGGGCACCAGGGGAGCACCATCGTGTATCTGAATTGTTGATAAGGTTAACTTACTGGTTAGCTGACTGTCATCTTCTAACGAATCAGTAGCCGGGGCCACAAATGAAGCCGCCAATCCATCATCAATTATTAGAGTCCAGGCCTCTTGTAAACTCAGAAGCTGGTAAAATACATTGACAAACAGTATCGATTAGGATAAACCTTCTCCATTAAACTATATAGAGAAAGAGAGAGCAAAGAAATTACCTTGGATAGTCTCTCCTTGAAATCTTCCCATTTCTTCTTTTTCCATTCCAGTGTGCTATCGCCCAATTGGAATCTATGTATTCTCTCCAAAGCTGTAAACAGAACACATGTCACATTCAAATCCTCTTCTGAGCTTCAATAAGTGTGTACATACCATTTTGGCATCATAAACAGAGAGGTGAATAAAGTGAAGCAGACCTACCCTCGCATATTTTCACAATTAAACCTTCAACAGTTGTGACCATACCACCCAACGTTCCACATGAAAGCTCCAACTCAAGTTCAGGTACTTTCACGCTAGCTGAATCTGACTGAAAAACAAAACCCAAATAAACAAAGTCGTATATTAGAAGATGGATCCTGTCTAACGAGTTCATTAATCTATACAAGTATGTGGATCCAGTAGAATCACAAATTATCAATCTGTGTAATGAACAAGGTAAAGAAATGCCAACATATTAGAATAATGTTCAGGGGAGTCCACATTGCACATTGCACACTACAGACTGAGAGAAGCCTAAAGGAAAGAAAAAACAACATGCACAGCAGAGAGTTAGATTCTGAAGGACTCGCAAGTTGCAAAATATATTTTACTTGACAGGACATCAGGTCATTAATATCAAATAACCTTTTCCCTAACCTAGTCCAGGGGATGAAGCTACCTCAAGCTACTCCCAGGGCATATTGAACAAATTCGAGTTGTTGCTATCTATTTTCTACCACTTAACCCCCATGGCACCAAGCTATGGACCCACCAATCCAGAAGCAAATCATTTGGTTGGGCTGCAAGCTCAGTCCAGCAACACTATGGTGTCATCCATTGTGTATGCTGTGCTCCCGGTCAACCTATGCTCCCTTATGCCTTCACTCTCTCTGCTTCGGCCAACACAGGGTGTCCATTATCCATTTCGGACTTTTCTAGCCTTGAACCACTGGCAGTGCCTTTTTTATCATTCCAAACTTTTCTGGAAGTGGGTAGCTCTAACTAATTCTCTATTTTGATTTTCTGCAATTTAATTTAGATGCTTCTTGGTTAAATTTTGATGAAACTGTAGGGTTTAGGCTTGAAATTGAGGCTTCCTATAATTTGTGTGAAAAGTTGCAGTCTGCATCACAGTTCAAATTTTTTTTTTGCATTCTGCATGGGACTCCTAGTGTAAAATAAACTTCATTATAGTGTAAAGTAAACTTCTGGAAGCATTATACATGTTCCAATTGACCACCGTAAATCCCATATGTTATATTGATGGTGCAAATTTTGGCTGAAACATTAATATTAAGCTTAAGCACAATGTTACCCAGGAGTTATGTATAGTTCGCTGAAACAAAACTACTAGTTCTTTATAGAGAATTGAAACCTACAATACTTTCAAATTTAAGCTTTTGAGAACCTCGAAATCAGATGACGTATTTTTTATTCAGCCATCACAGCTTCACTAACTATACTATTTTTCTCATTTTTTGGCATTTTTTGGGGGTACAGGGCACTTGTATTGAACTACTCATTAAAAACAGAAGTTGTATTATTAGGCAATATATACTTGTGAGGCACCCCTCCCTGGATTTTACTCTAGATTTGTCCCTGCCTAATCATATGATCATCAATCTCATGCACAGGCATGCAAGTTGTTGTAAACAGGAAACATCCAAACCTTTATGACATCGCGAGTAAGGTCTCGTGCATTTTGAACACGCAGTGTAATTTTCTTTCCCTTAGCTGGAATCTCACCTCCAGGCTTCAGCTGATTGAACAAAGAGGAATAGAGTTTTAAAATCATAAAAGTGTCAAAATGAGCCTGTCAGGTAACTAAATCTTATTTACAAAACAGTGGTAGGACAATCAAACTGACCTCTGAATTGCGATAACCACACATGTCACATGTTGTCGCCATAACAATCACCTCCTGGAAATATGGGATTTCTAGCAAAGGTCAAGGTTCACATTGGAAATATGGGATTTCTAGCAAAGGTCAAGGTTCACATACTTTTTAATTGCAGTGTTAAGCAGAAGAAAGGGACCCCAAAATGTTCTATTCCTATATTCAGGAACCTAATCAAAGGGTTGCAGCTATGTTTCAGGTCCTGGAAACCTGATATATCCCAGCAAGCATGTTTGGTAAATCCAACCAAACGATGCCTGTTTAAGTGGTGTGAAGCCATAAACCATAGCTGCAGCTAGAAACCATCCAAAAAAAAGAAGACTTATATCTTGTTCAATACCCAATATAACCCCATCCCAAATAATAATACTCACCAGTTCAAAAGTGAAATACCATATCTGGATCGACCAACAATGGTAAAATCTTAAAAACAGCCTGGGCAGGCCACATATCAGGAATATTATAACTCTGGCATAAATGTAGGATTCAAAATCAACAGAATCAAAGAGACCTGTATTTCCAACAAACTATCTCATAGCTAATTATTGCATACCACCAAGATATCCAACCATTGCACCCTCTCCAGGTGGTTGATGGCTATTCAAAGTAAGTACCTTAACACCAAAGAAAGAAAAATTTTCCGTGGACGTTTCAAGTTTCAACTATGAAAAAATGCAAGCAAAACCCATGGTACAGGAGCGAAGGCAGAAGAGGTGTTCTGACACCAATTACAAGATCCTTTTTCTAATCCTTATTCTAAGAGAACAAACGTCATCACAAAACCAAATAAGCATAGCCAAGATACTATTCATACTCTATTACTGAGCTTGGTCATGAAAATAACTAATGGCTACACAGGCATTATGTGCACTCTATTTTTAATCAGTCAGGAAAAAGGATACTTGTAGCAAAGAAAGCGCGTGACACATTCTGTTCCACAGGCCCCACATGTTGATGGTAAAGTATCAACCTGTCCACGTGAAATTTATAAGGTACAGATAAACATAATTCGTGAGGAGATTGTTGACAGCAACTTGGTAGATATACCTCTTCTGGTGCTGCGATATCTACACAAGGCTGCAGCAACTTCGTCGGGTTTCCCTGAGCTATAGCGCGACGAGCTGCAACAGCTCCAACTGAGCCATGGGGCACACTTTGCAACCCATCAGAATTGGATTCCACAGCTGAAGCAGGCAAAACAGCCTCTCCAGGTTGTTCTGTTGGTGGTTCAGCAAGAAAACCAAGTGCTGCTTGTTGTTCACGAGTCCTTTCATAGAATCTCACAGATAGTAAAGGATCTGATGACGGAGCATGCCTGTGGGTTTATGAAGATTAATCAGTGTGGCAAACCCAGATGAGGCACATGCATGGGGGGATTAATAAAACATACCATATATTATTATCTTCCTATGTATCCAGATGTAGCCATTACATAATAGCACAATCTAGTCAATTCAAATCACTATAGGTTTTTTTAGAGTCGCTATAGGTTATGTGACAAGACAATTCAAACAATATTACCATAAAGGAAAACAATGTAAAAATATCATCCAAGTAGTTCAAACATTAAATTACGATGCATAGAACAGTGTCTTCCATATTAGAACACGATATAAGTCAAAACAATTCTAAATCCCAAACAATATAAATTAGGATGTATTCCCACAAAGAAAACACTTACGGGTTCTCAATAAAGCTGTTTCCTGCAGGGTCATCAAGAACAAAGGTGAATGCAGCCTCTCCTGACCCAAGAGATCTCAACTTCAGTAAAATTGATCGATGGCTTCAGCCTTCTGAGGATCCACTTTCTGCAGAAGATCAGCTCGTCACCATGTGGAGTAATTCGAATTCCAAAAGCCAAGCATACAAATACCCAAGATTCACCTTCCGTTCGTCTTGAAGAGCCTGCAACTCATCCACAGCTCGCATAATAATCCCTTCCACCTGATTTACAAGGTAAAGAATAAGCAAGCTAGCAGCAAAATAGAACATTTTGAAAGGAACTGTTTCCCAACAAAACAAATACAGCAAGGAATGAAGCATACAGTAGAAAGCGTGCCCACGTTGAGCTTCTGGAGGAATCTCAAAGTCCAGCTCTGGAATCTGCAGATGGGTACAATGAATAGTCAATAGTTATAAAAGCAATGCATTCTACGTATTTACTGTAATGCATCAAGAGGATCAAATATCAGCATACCTTGATAGTCGCTGAATCAGACTTCACGACCTGACGATTCAATATCTGGACCAGCACCACTAGTTAGTTATTATAATAGATATGTTTCGGTAACCATAATAATGCTTTATTATAACAAATGTTAAAATAGGTTTGTAGTATAAACATTAAGAGAACTTAATTTTACCAAAATCAACAAATAAGACATAATCGGCATGCAGAAAACACACCTCACTCTGCCCTGACGGAACCTCCAAGCTATAGCAGCATCCCTTGGGTTGGAGCTGTCCAGCAAACTGAATCTCGTTGTTCCTACAACATAAGGATGCAAACTCGAATTATTACCATCAATTGGCAATTAATAGCTCTACCAATCATTGACCTGGACAAATTCCAATAAACAAGAAATTGGGCATATCGTTACCTCTCACCACAATGTGGGCACTCGAAGGCCATCAGAACCACCTGCAGATTCACAAAAGCAAATTTCAAAACTCATGTCTAATCAGCGGTACTAATCAGAAGTTCAGAACAAGCAGCTGACGGCATGAGCACAGAAAGTACCTCCCGGAAGTGCGGAATCAGCGTCAACAGAAGCCTCGTGATGCCCTAACCACATGATAGCGAAGCAACAGTCCTCAGAACCCGCAACAAGCGCCCCGAACCGAAGAGAACAGAACCATGAAGAAACGAGAGGTAAGGTACGGGAGCACTCACGTTCTCGCCGCAGCGCATGCAGAGGGACTCAATCTCGTGGAGAGGCGTGGCGTGCGCCTCCTCGTCCGCAGCCGCCGACTCCGCCGCGGAGCGGAGGTCTACCACCACGCGCCCTTCATCGCCGGAGCTCGCCATTGACGCAGGGAATAGGTGTCAGATGGAGCACTCGCAGACGAGACAGCTCTGTGAAAGCTTATGGCGATCGCTATGCGCTGATTTGGCTATGGTCCTCGTGGGAGTTTGTTTGGCGGCTATGCGTCGCGGCGGGAGGGGAAGGAAAGCGAACGGGGAGAACCGAGAACAGGAGCGAGTGACCTAGGATGCTCTAGAAGCAGAAGAAACGACCGCGCGGACTTGGGCTGGGCTGGGCTGGGACAGAGAACTGAGAAGGACAAGGTTTGCTACATGGACCTGAAACTCTGAAAGGCCTGAAGAAGCCCAGCCGCCCAGCTCCGGTCAGGCGGAGCACTACCTGGCACTGACGAGGGGCGGCGGGACGCCGCCTCTGTTGCAGCACCGCAATGGGGATGGGACGGCACCGCGGCAGGGACGAGCGACCGCTAGGTTGCAGCAGAGAGCTGGACAGGGAGAGGAACCGGACGGGACTACGGGAGCGTGAGCGTCGATAGGGACTACGTGAGCGGCGCACGCGGAGAAGGGATTAGGCGTCGGGAGGGCAGTCCTCTCTGAGCCTGGGCCGGCAGAGAGTACAAAAAATTTGGCCTAACACTATAGAAGGTGTTTTGGGCCACGCCTAGGGCCGTGGCCCTAGTGGCCCTAGGTCCATATCCGCACTGAAAGGCCTGAAGCCCAGTTAAACGTAGTGTCAGTCTAAGGTTCAATCGAAAATGGCCCACTGTCATCTTTATTTTTTCTGTTTTTCCGGCACAATGAAAAGGACAGAGGTTTTGATTGATGCATGCCGTCTCCATTAGCATGAAACACTGAGTCGAGGAGATTCTTTCAGCCCGTTCGCTTATTGGTTTCAGCCAGCCTAAACCAGCCAGCCAATAATGTTTTTCTCTCACAAAAAACCAGCACCAGCCAGCCCAAACCAGCACCAGCACCAACCAGCGAACAGGCCCTTTGGTCAATTATTTCTAATGGTTTATACTCCCACTGTTCCAAATTATAAGTAGCCTCGAATTTTCTATACGTCAATTTTGATATGTATTTAGATATAACAAATGTAGCAAAATCTATATACCAGAGAAGTCAAAGAGACTTATAGTTTGAAACGGATGTAATATAATATTATTTTTTATTTTGCTATAGTTTCTTTGGATCGATCATTCCTTTTGGGAATTAGAGGAGATTAAGGAGAAAATTAGTACCTTTTCTTCTCAGTTTCATCAAATGCCATGAGAGATAGGTGTGTCCAAAGTCGTGAATTTCTTTCTTAACCGCATATCAGAGCTAGGGGAATGCACCACAAATCCACAATGACAGACAAAAACCAGTATCACGGCGGCGCTTACGGCACATTGTCTGTCATGGCAAGTTGGCAACGCAGAATCAACTTGCAGCAGCGAAAGACCAAATTGATGTTAGTCACAAAAAAAGACCAAATTGATGTTTTTTTTTACAACAAAAGACCAAATTGATGTTGTACTCTTGTTCGAGATCCCTTGCCTCCGTGGGCCATCGCAATATTCGCAAGTTCGCAACCAAAACGGGACACGCCCCGGCGCCAGCACACGGATTAGTGCGCGCCCACAGAACCCCACTTCATCCGGCACTCTACGCCCTAAAACCCTAATCAAGAATTCCCGTCGTCAGCGCCACCCCCTCACCCACCACCCACCCCATCCCCGTCTCAGCCTCGCGCGCCGCCACAATGCAGGCCGCCGCCGCCGTCCGCCACCCGCGCCTATTCCCGCCGTCCCCGGGCCGCGCCGCGCGGCACCGGCGCGCGCCCAGCACCGTGCGCATGGCGCTGCGCGAGGACGGGCCCTCGGTGGCCATCGTGGGCGCCACGGGCGCGGTGGGCCAGGAGTTCCTCCGCGTCATCACGGACCGGGACTTCCCCTACCGCAGCCTCCGCCTCCTCGCCAGCGAGCGGTCCGCGGGGAAGCGCCTCGGCTTTGAGGGCCTCGAGTACACCGTCCAGGACCTCGCGGCCCCGGGCGCGTTCGACGGCGTCGACATCGCGTTGTTCAGCGCCGGCGGGAGCGTCAGCCGCAAGTATGGGCCCGCGGCCGTCGCCAGCGGCGCCGTTGTCGTCGACAACAGCTCCGCGTTCCGAATGGACCCCGAGGTGCCGCTCGTCATCCCCGAGGTCAACCCCGAGGCCATGGGGAACGTCCGGCTCGGGCAGGGGGCGATTGTGGCAAATCCGAATTGCTCGACCATCATCTGCCTCATGGCTGCCACGCCGCTCCATCGCCACGCTAAGGTACCACTTTGGGCACTTTTTGGGATGTCGGAAGCATCATCCATTTATCAGTAATTTTAATTTGAAGCGACGGAAGGCTGTTGCTGGAGAACTGTATAATTCACATGCTATTTAACGGCAGAAACCAAACATTAATATCTGGAATTATGCTTCCTAATACCAAATAGAAGTGTTATCTTTCAAAAAAAAAAAAGATATATGTATCGTATAGATGAATCAGTACATGTAATCAAACATTGGACTGTCAAATTTTAGTTCTTTTATTACTTTATTAGTTTATTTAATCAGGCTTGAAGATAGAGATCATATTAACAGTTCACAACATTGCAGTCACTCGCTTTCCAGCTAGTATTTGACTGTTCTGAATCTTCAATTTTCCAGTGTAGTTTTAGCCAACAAAATGGCACATGATTTATTCTTCCATGTTTCAGAAATTCAGTGTTCTGCGTCTGTCTGAAAAAAAATCTTCATTATTGAATTGACTGTATCACAGCATGTCGATTTTTTGTGACAAATCCTTAGGAGTTGATAACTCAAATTAAGGTTTGCAGTAGGGATTAACCATGGGCTATTTAAGACTTGTACTTATCTGGAACTGTCTTGCCGATTCTGTTTTTTTATATATGGGTTGTAGATTCTGCTTGAATTGCTAATACATTTGTATGGTGAGCTATTATGTTTCTATCACATGTTCTTTTGCTACTAAGATGATTTTTTTACCGTATCCGATTTGCTTGTTGACTGCCCTCCCCCCACGGTCAAACTAATGGCTATTTGTTGATTTGGCAGGTGTTAAGGATGGTTGTCAGCACATACCAAGCAGCAAGTGGTGCTGGTGCTGCGGCAATGGAAGAACTCAAGCTGCAGACTCAGGAGGTACATATTTTCTTCTCCAAGTTACCCTGTCCAGTTAATGTGTTTGTTTGGTTAGACACTCAATGTTTTACACCTTATTTTAGGTCTTGGAAGGGAAGGCGCCAACATGCAATATTTTCAAACAGCAGGTTGCTCCCGGCTTACAAATTGAAGTATCCTGAGCACATATTAAATTATTTTAGTCATGAATTCTTCATGCTGAATATCTTTTTCCCTTGTGCAGTATGCTTTTAATATATTCTCACACAATGCACCAGTTCTTGAGAATGGGTATAACGAGGAAGAAATGAAAATGGTGAAGGAGACCAGAAAAATTTGGGTTAGTCTTTGTGGTCCCATTGGTCTGAACAGCTTCCTATGAAGTCTGCATTACTCTGTCAAACTTTTCTTTCATTGTGATAATTTGAGCAAATATGCCTTCTAACTGTACGTTCCATTGCTAGAATGACAAGGATGTGAAAGTAACTGCGACTTGCATACGGGTTCCTGTGATGCGTGCACATGCTGAAAGTGTCAATCTACAGTTTGAAAAGCCACTTGATGAGGTAGGTATTCTGCATATTATGCGCTAACTAGCATTACTTCTCTGTTTGTGGAAATATGTTTGTTTCTTTCATACTATTCTCCTATTTGTGCTAAGTGAATTGATTCTTGGAACCTGCCACGTTGTCATTTGGATAGGTGTTTTATTTGAATTTAACTATTTGTGAATGTGGCAGAAAAACAAATTGGTTATATTTATGTTGTAGTATAATATTGCAACTTCTGAACTTGTGTGCTACTCTAAAGGATACTGCAAGAGAAATTTTGAGAGGAGCTCCTGGTGTTACCATTATTGATGATCGTGCTTCCAATCGCTTTCCCACGCCTCTGGAGGTATTTTGATTCATGCTCATCAATACCACCGCAATACTCACTATTCACACTCATTTCATCTACACAACTGTGCTGTTCCAGGAGAGAGAAGTTGTTCGAATGATTTTACCGACAAAAAGTAACCCTCTGTTTTTCAGGTATCAGATAAAGATGATGTAGCAGTGGGTAGAATTCGTCAGGACTTGTCCCTGGATGATAACCGAGGGTATGTATGATAATGTTTGACAGTTACAGTTGACAGAAACATTACCTTGTTGCGCATTACTTTTGTATGAAAATAGATAAGGAATTTAAGGATAATTATATTGGAACTAATCATCTATTCAATGGCAGGTTGGACATATTTGTCTGTGGTGATCAGATACGTAAAGGTGCCGCACTCAATGCTGTTCAGATTGCTGAAATGCTCCTGAAGTGATTATCGCCGCACTCAATGCTGTTCAGATTGCCGAAATGCTCCTGAAGTGATTATCCTCTTGTCTTTCTCTCCCTGTCCCTAATTGCTCTGATCAATGGTGGACTGTACTCTGATTAGTTTGTGCTCAATTTTGGTCGCCTGTTCTGTATTCTGCTGTGCTAGTGCAATAATTGTGAGACGGGCTTGAGTTATCTACTATACACAAAAGTGGGCTCGTAAGTTGGGAAATAATGGGTCATCCTTATTCAGCACTCTCGTTTATATCTTGTTCAGATTCATCTAACACCCCACCAGTGCCGTCGGGTTCTGTGGACCACAGGGCCCAAAGTGTCCTACGGGATTTACACTTTCATGTGCAAGAATAGGGTCAACCTGATCCAGAAGGCCCTGTGGGCAGCTCTCTAGGGCAGGCAGCATCTGTTGTAGTTCTACTGAAAGGAAGTGTGCAACGATAAGAACATGGGAGTTGAGAGGACAAGTTAGCCAATGAACTTCTGTGATCGCTTGATGTACAATGCCGCTGTATCCAGATCGATTTTACATGAACTAAAGGGTCCGTTGTTCTTCAGT